ATCATCCTGGTCAACCCCCAAACCTTAAACAAATAAACCAATTGCATACTCTTCTTCCTTCTATACCTCAAAAGGCACAATTCGATTTACTTTCAATTGAAAAATACATAATCATATAAATAATAATAAAAAAAAACTGAAGACATAAAATAAATAATAAAATGGTACAAAATTTACTTTAATCAAATTAAAAATGGTTTTCCTTAATCCCACAGGTATCACATGCTGATTACTATTCTAACTTAGCATTCGAGGACGTTGGGGTTTATGCTTAATGTAGTAATTCTCCCGAGAAATAGTAGGGATAGTTTCATAAATCCATACTTGAAAATCAACTAGGAATTCATTCAACCTGTATTCTAAAATCTTCTTTTCCATAAAAAATATTCTTCATTCTTTGATTAAATGCACATTTTAGGGATGATAGAGTCATATTAAAAATTTCTATACCCCACAGATAAGAATTCAACTCATGAGACTCCACAAGATAAAAAATGAGTCATCAACTACCTTATGATACAATGTACCAAAAAGAAAGGATGTAATCAAATAAACTGTGCTTATATCAACGACATCTTTATCTATAGTGTTAGCAGGCAAATTTACAAACACTTCTTGGACCTTTTTTGTTAAGATGTTTAGGTAATCTTTGAAGTACTGTTCTTTCAAACGACTCTTCATTCTATATATGGTAAAGTCACTATTTCCAATACATTTAAACCACGACATCAAACAAAACTCTTCAACTGAAAATCTCACAAATTTGTCATATATGTTGAACCACAATTCATTTGAATTAGGCTGCTTAACTTGTCTAAGCAACAATTGGTGTATCAATTGTGGTTGCAATACTATTTTCTTCAAATCAATAAAGGCACTAAAGCATGTATTCTTAAATAAAGTCCTTTGATATGAACTAAAATTTTCATTTAATTCTATTATCGTCTCACTTTTCCTTTGAACCAATATGATTGAGTGATTAACAAATTCCCATCCTACAAAAAGAAAAAAAAAAGATATAGTTAAAAAAAATTCAACAATAAATACATGCATTAGAAAAGTCTGGAAAATACACGTTTGTAACAATAAAAGTGTGTATATACTCAAAAAAGTGACAATAAATAAAAAAGAATGACATAACGTTAAAAAAGTGACATAAAGTACAAAAACAAATGACATAAAGTTCAAAAAATGACAAAAACTGAAAAAAAAAAAGTCACGTAAAACCAGAAAAAAGTGAGACAAGAGGTACCGAAACAAAAACAAGAATTGAGACGTTGCTTACATTTCACCCTATCACCACCAAAAAGTTAAAGAATACAATAATAAAAAAGTGGCATACACTTAAACAATGAAAATAAACTAAGCAAATAGCAAGTGAGAATTGAACCCATGTTCTTTTTATAACTAGACTGAGGCCTAAGCATGAGTGTCAACTCATATTTCAAGTTTATTACAACAATAACAATCCCGCATAACATGACATGTGAAGTCTATTAAATTACAAAAAAAAAAAAACTAGACATAATGGGCGCTCAAGCATTATGCAACCCAACTCATTTTGACGTCCCTGCTACATTAGGTGCATGATAAATCTTTAAAGGCAGAAACTCATATATATACCACAAATAACTAGTACATAGCCTTAGTTAACACGCAAACATTTTTACATTTTAGTCCCTAAAATGTAGATACCATTATCATTCAGCAATCTACCATTATCAATATGTTGCTTATCAACCTCTTTCACTAGAAACAAGACATATCGGTAATGAAAGTCCAAGAGCTTCAATCTCTTGCACCATCAAGTTCAAATACTAACAGCTAAATTTGATCCTTATTTCAGCAATCTGAAGTTAAATGACACTGTATATGATCCATAAACAATTTATAGTTCAAAATTCATTATAGCTATAGTTGTCTTCTTTCCAATTTTCAGCAAGGTCCTACCATTACGAGAATGACACCAGCCAATCTTAAGATATATTTAACAAACATAAATGACATTGTAATAGCGCAATCAACATGATATGATATAACACAAATTGGAAATGAGAAATGAGTAGCTTTGCATCCTAATTCTACAACATGATGTCCAATGCACACACTACTTCAATAACTTGTCAAAATTTAAACCATAATATTCACACTTCGTTGAGGGAGATATTTTTCCTTGATTTACAAGGTTGTTTTCCTAGATAAACATGTACAATACCACAAACCTAGAAATTATTAGCTACTTTGGGTTTATAAGTTGTTGGAGAAATTCTCTCTCTCTCTCTTTTTTTAAAGACGGTTCATCATCAACATTTGCTTTCCTCTTCAAATTACTTCATCTAACCATTATAGAAAATAGGAGTCAGGTTTCAGAGTGAAGAAGTTAAGATCAGAATCTAAGTTTTTGATTTTGGATCGGAATAGCTAGGGTTTCTGCTATTAGTGATTTGAGATTTTTGCAGTGATATTCTCTAATAGAAGAAGGATAAGACGGAAAAAGGACAGGCACAAGATGAAATCGCCGATTCGGATCCAAATAGTTTGGGGCTTCTGTTATTGTGATTCAGAGTTTTTTATGGTATCCATGAATAGGAGAATGAGAAGACAATAGACAAACAAAAGTGACAAAAATAGACGAAGACGAAAGTGGCAGCGATGGAAAGAGACGAAAGCGGGGGAAAATGGATGGAGAAAAATAGTGAGGAAAGGAAAGCATTTTTGTTTTGAGGAGAGGGTTTGTATTGAATGAAGATTGGGTTTTAGGTTTAGGATATATTAATTATGGGTTGAATGATTTAATTAGTGTTAAAAGGGTATTATTTAATGGGATACTTACAAAAATACTCTTAAAATTAGAGGTGTTTTGAAAAATCATAGGAAAGGTTTTTAGAAAGTAAAAAATACTGTGTAAAATAAAAAGTGACACAATGTCACTTTTTTTTATAAA